CACTACATCAGAACATTTACATTGCAATAATGTATGGCATGAAATAAACTTGTAACTATATCATTCAGTAATACAAATAATAAAACATACCGTTCACACTGGCCTCAAGAACTACGTAAGTGCTTGATTCCCCTGCACTTCCTGTTGTGGCTGAGCGTGCACCTGATGTCAGTGGCTGAAAGTGCACGTTCTGCAGCCAGACCCTTCTCAAACTGTTGTTTGTTTGCCTAGCTGCAGTGATCACGCAATGGGATTTGTAGTTTTATTACCACGCAGAAACCGGTGCAGACCAGAAAACACAACCAACGGATTAGTTTTACAGCATTTTACTATTTTACTATTTTATTTTCTGCGGACAATGCTTTTTGGGAATGAACGGAGGTAAGAATTTTAAGACTTGGGTAAATTAAAGACCTAGGATGAAAATCTGATCATTTTAAAGACATTTTAAAGCCTTAAATTTAACTTTCTGAATTTTAGACTTTTTAAGACCCCGCGGGAACCCTGGTTTAAGTCAAGAGAATCATTAACACCAGGGGCTTGTAACCTGTTTCATAAAGCTGTGGCCTGTACTACGAAGCAGGGTTACTGGTTTATCGGGGCAACTTGTTGGATTTAAGGTACCACAGTTTAAATGCACTTCATATATTCGTTCACTTGCATTTTGCCCAGACTACCTTAAATCTGACAAGTTACCCCGATAAGCCAGTGACCCCGCTTCATAGTACAGGCCACTGGTCTGGTGGAATATCACTGCTGTATGCAAGCACTGACTGTGACCACCCTCATCTGCAGCCAAACGTAATATGAACACAAGCTGCCGCACAAACGACCACCTGCAGCCTGAAAGCACATGCAGAAAAGTATGAACCAGGCTTAATGTCAGGCTAAGCTTCCAATGAGCAATCTGTTACAAGTGCAAATAACTGTGAGAAAGAACTACACAATGCTTATAAACCCTGCTTAATAACCATAAAAAGTTCTGTTTTGCTGTTTTTAATATACCTGCATGTGCATTTCATTTAGGGCTTTACTGCAAAGAGACAGGATGTGGCACATTTCCTACCTTCGCTATTCAGAGGACTCTCAAAGATCTGAAGGGACAGCACCAAAGGTTGAACCTGCATTCAGAGAACAGAGATCTTCACAAATTAATTTGTGGCAACCCCTACTTTAATTTTTTTTTTTTTTTAAATCTGCCCCCCTTCAACAATAAAGGCCCAGATACAAATCATGGGACTCACTTTTACCCCATCCTCATCTACGGCGCTGCTTGACAGCGGTGACAGCCCAGACAACTGGCTCCCCACCTCTGGTGACGAATCTGCGAATAACATGCACACATGAGTACTGGTCGACCGCCAGCACGATTACAGCCACTGAAACCGGCGACCCTTTAAGTGTAATTCACTTACCAAGCTCGTCAAAGCACTCCTCTATGTTGCGCACAACGTCTCCTTTCCTCTGACTTTGTGCCCTGTAACGGATCAAGTTACACTTACATGCGGCATCGTTAAGTTTACAGTAATAAAGTAAATATGACAGAAGCCATGAAGACAATAGCCGGAATTCTTGGTTACGTTAAAATTCACATTCAAAAGATATTTAGATGACATTTACAAGTGCCAAGAAGGCCCGTCTACCTTTCGAGATTGAAGTAGCGAAGCTTCGACGGCGGCTTTCCCTGAAAAGATACGAGTAAACAAAGCGGTGGGTGTGAGGACGCGGCTCGGCGAATGGCTGCACCTCCGACCCGGGAAAGACGCCTAAACCGCCGGAGCCGAACTAGCCAACAAAGGGCGTATAGCACCAAGTACGAGTAGGGACAAGTCAGAAACTAAAACATCGCAATACTAACCAGGTTGAAGTATCTGCGCTCCATGCTGGAAACAACATTAACGAACGCTTTTAACCGCCAATTTTAAAAATGTGTATTTACATCACTTAGTAAGTTAGTTAAAAATCGAATAAGTTCAAATACACTGATATGCAAATATAGCACATATAATTAAGCGTATAGTATAAAACAGAAACTCATTGTAGAAATAATGTTGGAAACTGATTTAACAATTAGCAAAACAGAGCAAAGTAATCTTCCTTAGTTTTCTATAGCCCGCGCTCTGACGCAAAAAAAAACATCCAAACTTGGGTGCAATGCATCATGGGAGCATCCCTTAACCGTAATACTCCTAAAAAGTGAATTCGGAAAAGTGTATATCATTACAGAACGCAACACGCGTTAGATGTTGTTGTATGCAGCGTACTGACACGGGAACTGTGGGTACTATCGGTGCTGCAAACCATCTTACCGTGTTCTCAGCCACCTTATATAGAAACGAATGTCTTGCCTTGTTTGTTTATGCATCTTCTGTAGACTCGCTTAACTTTCAGATGTTATCTGTATTTATTAGAACTAGACGTACTTAATACTGTAATATTAGATAATTATGTTAACAAATGTTATCCTGTCGTTTTAATGGGAAAATGTATTTCATGGATATCGAGAAGAGTACAATCCTTTATCTTCTGTTGTCTATATGGTTTAATAAAATATGCGTAATCATAAAAGCTTCCCTAATATTTTCTAATCTCACTATCATTGCCAGATGCACATATTGTTGATTGTTTTCTATCACTTAATTTGTTTACCTTCTGAGTTAAGTAATCCAGTGTATCTATATATAAATTAGCTAAGATACCTCCCTAACTTCCTACTCATCATGAATCCCCCTGTTGTGAAAAATCATGGGCTGGAAGAGGAGCTGCTCATTTGGGATGGTGGAAATGCCAGGAAACAACCCAAACTGCTCATTGTAGCATTTATAAAAACAAAATACACATAGTTTGGTTATTATGCTGTATTATTTTATTAGAATTGACATGCAAGTCACATAGACTATATGGACATAAGTATTGGGACACACCTCTTAATCACTGAATTAAGGTGATTCATTCAGACCCATTGCCACAGGTATATAAAATCAAGCACCTAGCCATGCAGTCAGGTTTACAAACATTTCTGAAAGAATAGGTTGTTCTAAATAGTTCAGTGAAATCAAGTATGGTGCTGTCATAGGATGCCACCTTTGCAATAAATCAGTTTGTGAAATTTGCCAGGGAATTGGGAGAGAGCAAAAACGTGGACTGTCTGGAGGTCCCCGAGGACTGGATTGAGAAACCCTGTTGTAAAACACACTTCCACTGGACTGTGGAGCAGTGGAGACATGTTCTGTGCAGTGACGAGATTCCAACTTTGTGGGAACAGTCTGGGGAAGGCCCTTTTCTGTTCTAACATGACTGTCCCAGAGCACAAAGCAAGGTCCATAAAGAGATGGTTGGCTGAGTCTGATGTGGAATAACTTGACTGGCCTACACAGAGCCCTGACCTCAACCCCATGAAGCACCTTTGGGATTAACTAGAACAGAGATTGCAAACCAGACCTTCATATCCAAATCAGGGTCTGACTGCACAAAAACTCTTCTGGCTGAATGGGCAGGAATTCCCACAGACACATTCCATAAACTTGTGGACCTTCCCAGAAGAGTGACAGCTGTTATAGTTACAAAGGGGGGCCCAACTCCATGTTGATGCCAATGGATTTAGAATGGGATGTCATAAAAGTTCCTGTAGGTGTAATGGCCAGGTGTCCCAATACTTTTGTCCATATTGTGTATCTGCAACACAAATATATACGCATATGTTTGCATTGTTAAACATGTGACCCTATTTGTTAATCACAACATTTCATGTTATTCGTATTCATTAATTCAAAAGCTCAATAAAATATATACGATCTGCCTTTCTACATTAACACAGTTTATCCATAGCTACTAAATTATAATTTCTTAACAGTGAAACTACAAAGCCCTCACCAAGGTAAACAAAGTAAATGCAAGCTGCACATTTGGTTAATTTGGTATTTTACAATTTGCCACGTGTACAAATTAACTGTCATTTTAATGTGCTGCTTCACCTTCTGGCCAATTTGGTCAAAGTTCTATGGCAAATCTATCCAGCTCTATGTTAAACATAAAATAGGCCCCACATTGTTCCATTCTTCTGTTTGTTCTAGACCACTGTGAAAAATAAAACATGTATACAGATCAAAAATAATTAGATTTCCATTCTTCATGTGCTAGTCAGGCCACCAGAGGAAATTTAAAGCTTTCCTTCCATCCATCTGTCCATCCATCCACCTTCTTTTTTTTACAGTGGGAATTATTTTTACAAAGATAACAATCTGGGGAGCTATGGAGTCACGACGCTTATATTTTACCAACCGTGGAAAGGGAGGAGTCTGATTGTCGCAATCGACTAGGAATGTCTTCAAGATCGACCTGTCAGTCGCAGTTAAGGTGACCACCTACTCCATGTCAGGAGGATGCTATGAGCTACTTCAGGTTTTCCAAACTACTTCAAAACTGAAAGACTCCTGTGCTTGGTTAAACAGAGTAATCAGTTCCTCTTCTGCTTTGACTTGTTTATTTCCTTGATTGAAAGACTCATCCTGCTGTTTCACTGGATTTCACTGCATTAGTGACACAGGCATGATTACATGAGACTGACCAATCACCACACAGCAAGAAGTTAGTGCTAAAGTGAAATCCAGGTGTTTTTAATGGAGATGGTAGTTTACAAACCCTGTCCCAGCTCAGTGTCTCCCCGACATGGATTAGGTGGTCACCCTAATCACCATCGACTGGTTGGTGACTACTGGCCTACAGGGTCAGGGGAGACGAACCAAAGAAAGACGGGGCACAGGGTAGGAAACAGCTAGGATGGGATGCCACACACACACACACACACACACACACACACACACACACACAGAAACTAGAGACACCAACTCACCCACCTACAAGTCTTTGGACTTTTGAGGAAAATGGAGAAGACCTAGCATGCAGCATAGTGAAAACATGCAAACTGAAGCAAAGATAACAAATTAATGTTTTTTTCCCCCAGTGCATTACTTGACTCGGGGTTTGAAGCTCAGGGCAACACTGTTGATACAGAAGCGATGGCCAGTCGGATCAGGACCATCGTCAAACACGTGACCCAGGTGAGCATCACACTGTCACAAAAATCAGAGTTAATTGGAGAGGTGCAATGACAAATAAAATAGCCAAACAAAACATGAATCTCACATTATCAGCTAAATCACTGCAATAGCTTACATTAAGGAGTCCATTATTAGAACAGTCAGGCAGGTAAGTTTTGTGTTACATAGGCGAGTAGCCTACAAACTAGGGTGACCAGATAATACATGTCAGAGAGGACACTTTGAGCTACTTCAGGTTTTGCAAACTACTTTAAAACCCAAATGGCTCCTGTGTTTTGCTACACAGTTCAGTTCTTCTTCTGCTCTGAGCTGTTTCACATTAACATTAATGACACATGTATGATTACAGGAAACTGACCAATCAGCACACAGCAAGAACTCGATGCTTAAGTGAAATCCAGGTCCTGTTGATTGAAATGGAAGTCTGCAAATCCTATCCCAGCTCAAAGCTGACATATATTATCTGGTTACCCAACCACAAAAGGGCATGACTGCCTCGAGTGACATGCTTTGGCTGTGTCACCCACCTGTTTGCATATGACTTCTGTGCCCATGCTGCCCAGAGAGCAATCCGGGCGCCTCAGGATGTTGGCATGGCTCTCATCCCGTTCCCAAGTGCCGTGAGCCTCATAGAAGGACGGCCACCCTGTCCCCGAGTCAAACTTTGATTCCGAGCTGTAGGGATAGAGGAAAACCAGACAGGAGCATCGACTGCTTTGAATTTTTTTTGTTCAATATAAACCCAAACTGAAGTTGCAGATTATTAAACAAACATCGTCCAACTATTTATTCAGGACAAGATGGGTGGGGGCTGGAGGCAACACATATATACATAGACATAAAAATATGCAATAGATATTGGGGCTGAACTGAAGGAACTGTGCAAGTTGGGGAAAAGATAAAGCCTAAGCAAATGGTGCTGTAATAATCATTTTTTTCCGGGCCTTGTTAAATATAAACGAACACTAGAGGGCACCAAACCGATGTCAGTTGACCTACATCAAATCATTATAATGGATTATTACGAACTAGACATAATAATTCCACACTTTCTGACGGCACACATTAAGTAACCAATTATACATTAAATACGTGCGGTTCAAGAAACTAAATCTGAATTCAAAGAATTACAGATTAGAATAATATCCACCGATTTCCTTTGGTTTAGTAACTGCTTTGACTTGTTTCGTCTCATCAGCATAGTCATTTTCAATTGATTACCCACAATACAGAGGAATTGGCCCAGACTTTGAAATTAGAGGTTTATTGTTAATAATAGTAATGGTGATGATGATAACGGTGAGGCCACTTACTTAAATAGGGGCGTGTCGCAGCAGACACAGTGGTACATGCCTTCTTCACTGTGGTTCAGATATATTCCACTGAAGGGCTGGAGACAGTGTTCACAATCATAGTTAATCACATAATGGCATCTCCGATTGTGCATCACTTTAAGAATACTAGAAGGGGCTACTTTGCCTGGGTTTCCACCTGGAAACCATATATCTGCTGCTTTGAATCCACTCGCACTGGGTGACTCAATAACAGCTACTCACTATTTCGGTGCTCCTCTCCCTGGTCACTACATACTGCTCCGGGGTCAGCTTCTTCTGCCAGTCCATAGATTTTCCTGACTCGTCATAACGTGTCAGAGACCGCAGACCTGCACACAAATATCTCTCACTTAGGTACATTTTGCTCAGTGCAGCGGTAATTGTTCTTGTTGCTAAACTACAACTATGTTGTTGGGGTGAAAGTTGGCAAACCTGCTCCCCTCCCTAGCTTCGTGCAAGACAAGCAACTCAGAGATTTGTAAGTGAATGTTAAGGCGATCTTGGAAGAACTATTTAACATTCAGGGCACTATCACGTAAACCTGCGTATGTGGTAATTAGATTTTTCCCAGAATGACAAGGTTTAATTTTTGAAGAATAATAATGAAACTACCGTAAATATTCAGATTGATGGTCTAGCGTTATATTGAGTTATTTTATGCATTATATTCATAGACAAAGGCTATTAACAAGTACAACGATTATTTTGTCTTTCCGTATTTTCTTTGGGAAACCAACATTTTCGAAAAACACAGGACAGATGTAATAATTGCAGAGGAAAATGACATTGAACGAAACCGAATTATCTGATTAAGACTTGTAATTTAAATCGATTTAACTTACCCTCACGCAAAAATAATAAAAACAATAATAAAATGTTAAAAGTCGCAATACACATACCAGCATATGTGAATACCGTACGCGATGGAGCGATCGTTCTCCTTGAAAACACACGCGCTGCCTTAACAGCCCCTTCATTGGCAGCTAAGAAATAAAGGCGAGAGGCAACGCTGGACATGCTGTTCTCCTTTAGTCCAAAATGCAAGCTGTTGGTCAACTGGCGACTGGCGACTGAGTCAAGGTCCTGTCAAAGCAGGTGCCTTTTGAATGCACCTCGGTTTATGCTGCCTGCTGACCAGACGTGGATAATTTCGTCTGAGAATTAAATGACAGCATGGAGATGATACAAATGTCAACGATCTTTATCATCTTTTTAAATGGCGTTAATCAATCTAGACCGAAGACATCTACCAACATTCATTAATCTTAAATGGAACAAGGTCTGAATACGTGGTAAATACCAGATGCTAAGAACTTTAATGTAAGTGATGGCCCTATCAATCCTAATGTTATTTCTTAAAACGCTCGCTTTGACATTTCATCACGAATATTATTTGAACTCCACACTTTTGAACCAGTTGGCCAAATAACATCCAACGATAAGCGAACCCACCCTAACCAATTGAAACACCAAACATTTGCAGTCGCAAACTGGTAAAACGTCGCATTTCAGTCGCACGTGTTATGTTACACTTAAAAATATTATTGAAAGTAAAAAAAACATGAGCCTACTCCTGTTTCTAAAGTACAAACTATTACAAATACCTGAGCTCCAACACCATAAAAGTGACAGGATGATTGATAAATAACCTCTAATTCTTTTATTTTTTAATCTTTTATTTAAAACACTCTTTACATAATGAATAGATATTGTCATTAGATTACATTTACAATAGATTATCTTTGATTTACTTAAAAGAGACCTAAAAGTCCAGAAAAATGGAGCTACACTAGTGTATTTTTTGGAAATCACAGTGGAAGTTTTGATAATGACACCTGCTATCGCAAACGGGAATCTGCAGACCTAAAGTGTATCGTTTGATGCCATAAATGTTATGAATCCAAGAAGTTGCATGTGAACTCAGATGTGAATTCAGTTGTAAATAGCAGTGTCATCCATAACTGAGTATGTTCCTCCAAACACCGAAGGACAATGAACGCATACTAAGCGTGTTGGGTGATGCCTCGGTGCTCTTCAGATGGTCTGGTATCGGATGGCTTCCGGTGAATCGCTCCTCATGAGGACACCTGGAGAGTGCATGAGGTCCACTACGTAGGCACGGGGTCGGCCGTAGCATCCGTGGATGTCGGGGGGAGCCTCCGTCAGTCGGACCTTGTTCCAGGCCCGGTTGTACTCCCCACGTTCCAGGCTGCAGCTCAGCCCGATCCTGTCAGCTAGAACCTGGAAAAGTGGTGGAGATTTGGACCTTCCATTAACTCCGCTGTCCACCAACATTGTCATTTTATTACCATTTACACAATTATTGCCGTTGTTACCAAATGCCCATTATTTAATAAGTAATAATGAGCAATAAATAATGATATTCACTCATTCATACTATTTATCTGCTGCTCCCATCAATGCCTACATAGTAAATATTACAACACTCTTTACATTTGCGCTCTGCGTTGATGTTCTCATACTGTACATGTACCTCGATTGTTTTTTTCCACTCAACCTGTCTGTCTCTGCACTTATGCAGCACCGCTGTCTGGGGAATGTTATTTCATGCCACTGTATGCTGGGTTACTGAGTATAGTTGCCACTTGACTTGACTTGGAGGGATGGAAGGGGTGGGGGGTGGGGGGCGATGTGCTCACAGCTGGCTGCTGTATGACCACATTAAATAAGTGCCAGCTTCTTGGAAAGGAGAACGTTCCCCGTCCCCAAGCATCCTGGGAAATTAGCTTTTGGCTGAAGGGTTTGCCCTCGGTTTGCTGATTATGTTAATTGTGCACATAAATCTAAAGTACCGTAATTAATAGGAATTACACCCATAAAACACAATTATTTTTTAATGGAAGCAAAAAAGGCAAAGGCCTTGTTTACACTTGGCTTTAAAATGCGTCTTGGGGGACTGGATGAGAAGTGGATGGCTGAGACACATTGCCATTTACGCCTGTGTCTGTCGCACCTCTCCCGCTGACCGCATGTGTGTAGAATGTTACCGCCTGTGCTACTTGCATTAGAAAGTCAAATCGACCCACACAGTTATTGTGACATCCTCGTCGAAGACGCTTTAGCATAGTACAGCTATAAAAGATATGTGGTCAAGTATGTCCCAGACCACCTCAGCAAGCGGATGGAGTGATAGGACCACAAGGCATCTTGGTGGTCGTTTATGCTTGTATTTAGCGCTGTCTACTTGTAATCTGACTGCCCAAGATGTATTTTAAAGCCAACCGTACCAAGGCCAAAGAAACTGAACGACGAAGTGCTGTCTGGTATCGTCAGCGACCTGCCCAGTGATCCACTCGGGGATCTGCTGAGGGATCAGTCGCTTGTATTCCCAGGTTTCAGAAGCGGATTACATGGCCGTGCAGAGGCCAGGAATAAAGCCGGCGGGCTGGTACCTTGAAGAGCAGGGCTCGGTGGGAGAACGTCCCCTTTTTGATCATCCCGACAGGGATGACGTTGGACTGGAGCTGCAACTTCAGCTCGCTGAGATGTATCTCCCACATGAAGCGGTCCAGCTCATCCCGGGCCACAGTGCCACCCATGGCGTCGCTCACCAACCTGTGTACCGGCAGAGCAGTATACACACAGTCCAGCTACTAATGTATTATTCTTATTTTTAACAATGTATTTAATCATATAATACTACAATATTCTGTTTCAGGGAATTCTATTTGTGTACTGTGTACTTTTTACATCTGTCTGCGCAATGTTTATTTGGTTTGCACTGCTTGCTGCCATGGGTCCATGGGAACGAGGCATGGTGCAGGCAGGCAAGGAAGGTGACGATCCACTTGCGGCTCCACAAGACAACAGGGGGTTTATTTTCAGATAATGAGAACACTGGGAACACTACAAACAAAAAGACCACGAGGGGTCAAAACTAAAAGAGGGTACAAAGAAAACTAACAGAACCAAAAAAAAAAAAAAAGCCCTACCATGAGAAAACTGGTAATAAAGAGAACAGGCAGGGATGCAACCATATCACCCAGCAAAGACCCAACATCAGGGAACATAGTCAGTGACTCCACAGTGAACAGAGCAGGATCCGGTACTTAAATACAGAGGGCTAACAAGATAATGCAGAACAGGTGAGAACAATCAACAAGGGCTGGCACAAGAAAACAGGCAACAGGTGGAACTAATAGCAATTAAACACAGAAACTAGAGAGCCCAACAAATAAGAACTAGGAAACATTGACTGGGAATAAAACACTAGGAACAGAACACAAGGATAATTAAACAGAAACAGAAAGGAACAAAATAGAACACAAGCAGGGAAAACCTAGGACAAGAAAAGGAATACAAAAGAAACACTAGGGAACAATATTTACTAAAGACAAAAAACAGAGGTGGCTGGACTCAAACACATGATCAAGGGGGTTATAGGTGCACACTCAGCCCATAGAGCCATGCGGCAGTCTAGGGAGCTGGGGAAACACACTAAGGACTTACACAATAAGGAGGACAGGACGGCCAGTGACACCTGCTGGCCAAATGGGGAGTAGACACGAAAGGCTGGGACAGACGAGTACAGACCCTGACAGTTTGTATTGTCTCTGTAGATTGTTCATTTCACACAATATGTATGTTTGACTGTGAACTACGTTCTACCTGCTGTATGCACAAGACAGAACATGCACTTTGCAGTTCATCATTCTAGCAAATGTAATTATTGAAATTCAAGCTATGCAAGTCTGTAGGTAATAATGCTTCTCTGCTTTCTATATATTTGTTATATATTGTATTGTTTAATATTGGTATTTTAACTTGTTCTACTTTCTTACTGTCTTGGAACAACTGTAACCACATAATTTCCTCAGGGATTAATAAAGTATTCTGATTCTGTTTCTGATTCTGATACAGCTTAGATAACAGTGAAGGGCATATTTGTACACAGTAGGGGTTTTGGGGGCTGGTCACTCACTTAGCCAAAGTGACACAGCGGTCCCTCTCGTCACGTAGAGGCAAAATAGTCCTGCCGGCCCCCAGGACCAGGCCATGGAGATCAGAATCACACTGCTGCGTCCACGGCTTCACCCCCGAAGCATCAGGCTGAGGTCCGCTCTCATCCTTATCCTTCCGCCTGTCCTCCTCTCTCCTGACCTTGCTCCTAACTTTACTACCCAGACGGCGGAAGAAGAAAGTCAAAAGCTACCCAGGAGCTGTGGGTCGGATGGGCTCGGGGGGCAGCGTTGAAAATGCTGTTAGCTGTCCACATTCGCCTTTTACTACAGTGCAAACAGAGCTTCAACACACACAGTTCTTTGTCACACAAAGAAATTTGAGAGAGATAGACTTGCAATGCCACCAACACAAATAGATCTTTGACACATGTAGAGGTTAGAACAGCAGTCACCTGTTCTGTCAATGCAGTGATGCCCAGATGTGGATATGCAGTGTAAGCAAATGCAGGCACGCACCTGGGGGATCTCACACCGCTCTTGTTCAGGACGGTCGAGGAACGGGAAGGGCTTGGGTCATCTTGCAGTTTATTGTCGGAGGACTCAGTGGGTACCCTAGAACGTACAATTAGTTGTTCGTTATATCAAAATTGGCCTCTCGGGCCTTGATACCGACCAGCTGTGCCAACAAACGCTTCACCTCTCGTGGCTGGGCAGGCAGTATAATGACTAAGAACATGGTACCAGCAGGGCTCTTGCTGTTGTACCTTTGAAGGGCATGAATCTGAACTGGAACAGGTAATATACAGCTTCATAAATGTATACAATGGAAAAAAATATACATTGTGAGCAATAAAGCGGCTTTGTGTTCAAAGATATAGGCAACACTAATAAGCAGAACAGAAATGAATGAAATAAAAAGGCAGCATCACCTCACAAATTCACCATGCACCTCCATTCAATTTATACGATACATTTGCAGCATAATAAACAGCATGGCTCCCCCTGTCCCACAATGCACTGCATGCTCTGAGGGCCCCAAACTGCAGAGTTTGAAAGGGGGAAAACTCAGCTGAAGGGCTAAACCAAAGCTGGAATAATTACATTTTCATCACAAGCAGCTTTTATCCGCACTTGGCTAAAACAGTAACAGGGACTGGTTCAGATCC